TCCTCTTCCCTGCCTGCTTCTTTTCAATTTTGTCACAAACATTTATTACATTATGACAGAGCAAACTTCACATTGATTGACTCACTCTGAGATTTGCAAAGTACACTTCCCTCCCAAACAATTTGCCCTGGAATCACTTCTTGTGCTCTACGTAACTGTTGTCATCACCCCTTCATTGCTCAGGAGACATGGAGCTCTGGGTTTTTTCACTGGTGCCATCACTTTCTCCTCTGCTAACACAGACAGCTCTTGAAAAGCTGAAGATCCAGGAGTAATTTGGGAAAGCAACTGTATATCCCCAAGCTTTCTTCTATGAGATGGCAATAAATGGGAGAACTTGCAAAAGGATATTATTTCCTTATTCTCTTACCCAACTCTGGGCCCCCAAATCTGTTCTGAGTACTATTTTTAGTTTCCTAGGGAAGTTGGGTGGGTATGAATGACTGCCCACTGTCTGCTACATTATTTCATAATTTTATCTCTGTTTCTGAACTTGTAACTTTAGAAAGAGAACACACAATTCTTTCAGAATTAAGCAGGCTTGCTTAATTTGGTTATGATCTATATTTCTCTTATGCATAGGTTGTTTTCAAGTTTTCACCACTTCAAACCTTGCTCTTGTGCAAGCATAGACCTTCGTCACTGTAAAGGTTTGACATAGCTTTTAAGATTGTCTAATATTCTATCAGAAAATAATTTAGGTAATAGAATGGTATGGCTTAATGTGCCCATCCACTGCAAGCACTGTGTTTCTGGCAAACACAAGAAAATGGCTGCCTGTCTCCTTGGTAAGCATTATCCTACTCCTGGTACCTGTGCACCACAGTGGCACAGCTCCTTGTTTAATATACAAACTGTGGAAATGGGTTTGGTAAGAGAGATGGGGATATTCTATTTCCTCCATTGATTTCTGACCAAGCAATTACTCCTAAAATCCAGGGACTGGAATCGGGGTGATTAGGTCAGATTTTTACAGCTGCATCCCTCTATTAGTTCTACTTATATAGCTTATTTTCAGAATTTTGGGTTGCAGGAACTGAATGCTGAGAATTTTGTTTGCTTCCTTTGATTTGAGAAGCAATCAAAGATTGGAGTTCAAGCCCTCTAAAAATGATAAATAATATCCTGCCTCTGCTATTCATGAACCATAACCAGCTTATCTTTCTTGTATTTAAATTTCTTACCAGTTATCTTATCTCTACATAAACAAATGCTATGTTTTAATAAAGAAATCCAGAAGTATGTGTTATCTATGTGGTTTTTTTTAATTTTTGGGGGGGGAAATGATATAAGTATTTTATTGGTTCCTTTTTAATAGCAGGAAATACAAAGATCATAGTTTGTATTTGTGTCTCAGCCTCTGTTTTGCAAAAAGATATTTCCCTTTGTTGTTATTGCATCTTAGAACAACATTCCTCCACTAAATTCTGATTCCAATGCCCTGTTATATCCTGAAAATGATCATGGGTTCTTGAAGATGATGATAATAAAGAGATGATGTAAAGATACTCAAATATCCAGCTGAATGGAGATTTAAATTTTTGTGGGCTTGTTGGAAAGCTATTCAAAGGAAGACAACTCAAGGAACATTGCTCATGGTCTCTATCACCACTTTAGGAAAACTTCTATCAGACACCATTTACTACATTCAAAAAGGAATTGTAACAATCTGAAATGGAGGGTAAATTTAGGGAACAATACATAAACTGTTCTTTGGAATTGTGTGTCTTGACTCAGAGGAGTCAATGAATTTATCATGAGACTAGGAAACACTGTTAAAATTAAGCACTGCTAAATCCTTTGGAGGAGAAGGGTTACCCTGTGATGGTAACAATGGAAAATGAAAAGTGAGGTGAGGTGACAGTCTCTTATGATATGTATCATAAGTATACCACCTGAAAAATTCCTGGCTTCTTGCTTGTTTCTTTCTTAATCATCTGGGAAAAACAGGAAAATCTCCCCTTTGCCTATCCTGAATTATTTAATATTACTATTATTATTACTTATTATGGCTGTGTAGTAGAACTAGTTGTTGTATACTTAAAATTTCAGGGGTTCAGAGGTGGGGAAAGGTAGAAATAGGGAATGTGAGGCTTAGATATGTTGGGATACACATTTCTTATATCTGATTATAAAGGTCAATACTGGAGCACTATCAAAATAATACAGTTTTTCCTACATTTAACTTTGAATGAACTTAGAAAATAATTTACAAAGAGAAATACTGTTATCTACCCATAAAACTCTATCCTAGGAATAGGATATCTGCTGAGATAAGAGAGGATAAGGAGTCCTTCCAATTTTCCTACTAAGCCCAGGATACCTGAGGAGAGTTATAGCAAGGGGCTTGTGACAAGTATTCACTATCCACTAAAGAATCAGTCTGAAGAGCATATGAAGCATACTAGACGTGGAAGAAAGAAAAAAAATGGCATTTCTTGAAGGAGTTCAAACCATATTATTGATATGCATTCTTTTTACCAGATCTACTTGGGTTATTTTGTATTCATTTTCCTTCTAGGTTGGAGAGCTTTCCAACCAGGAATTTTGCCCAGTCCCCTACAACTAATTTCTGTATTGTTCTACTTTTACTACTCTAAATTAGCAATGGACTTGCCTCATTAAGTATTCTATTGCAACGAACCAAGGCAACCCCACCCCCTTCCAACACTGACACATTCATACCATGCTACATACAGTATATATAACAATGGCTCAGAATCCAGTAGTTTAGGAATGAAATAAAGATACTTTATTTATTACACAGGCACTTAGATATGACATGCCCAACACATCTGATAATACACTTAACAACTACCAAAACAAGAGTGGAAAATGTCTGCTTGTAGTATCAAGAGAGAACTTTCACCATGTAAACGTGAGTGAGTGCATTAACAATTTTTTTTCCTCTAGGAAGCTTGGAAATCCACTGAACCAAAAGCAGAACACTTGAGATAGTATGCAAGAATAACCGAGTTATGTTCCAATGGGGAGGCTAGTAGTTGTGAGCAATTCAAGCTTTGTCACAATGCAACAAATCATGCTTGAACAGATTAGGTTAGTTGCATGCATTTCATTCTGCAATAAGAACACAAGTTGACCTATTTTTTTTTCCAACAAAAGTCAAAAAGACCCAATGTGTGGAAAAGTACAAATGACTGTTGTCAACATATCAGCACAGTGGTCTTGGGACTTACATAATGGTGATGTGATCCTGATATGCTAGGCCTGCAATAGCACACTAGGAAGAGGGCAAAGATGTTTAAAACCAAATCTCTACACAACAAAGGTGGGGCACTTTAAGGTGGGGGAGAGGGGGTTCTTGTTGTGTGCAGCATCTTTCTGCTCACCTCCTTCTGGCTTGACTGGTCCATCGGACATCACCTTCCTGAGAGCCAGCTGGCTTGGGTCTTTGTTGTCATTGGCTGGTGGAGGCAGATTGTCAGACTGAGTTCTTTGAATTGGGAGGACTCCTGCTATGCTGTGTCTGTGCTGCTTCCTGGTATGATTAGACTGACCGCTTTTATGTGCTGCTGTGGCAGTGTGAGTGAAATGGAAACCCACAGTATGTATCCTCAGATGGAACCAGCTTAAATGTTAGTCATGCAAACACAAGTGGGATTTTTTTTTTCTTCTTTTTAAATAAGTTGTGTGCTCAAACGCCAAAAAAGACACACATGCATAGCACTAAAAGGGATTAAAACTGGCTGTTTCTTTAATAATGATGGAAACGTAAAATAACCACTTTTTCCCACTTTCTGCATAATGCCTTTGGGAGCTCACAGTATACCAACAAACATGATGATGTCACACTTAGTCGGTTGTTACATCAATATTTTCGATGCCTTATCCTAAACAATTTAGCTTAGATTCAAATTATATTATAGAGTGCAGTGGTTGGGAATGAGTGGCTATTAGTCCTTAATCTATTTATTGTGCTAAACAAGTGGTATTTTGAATTTCAAGGAAAGAACAAATCTAACAAAAATCACCCTACACTATCATTTTATGTTATAGAAAATGAAATCCAACAGAGTAGATTTATTTGTGCTCCATAATGAAAAGGCTATGCTGCCCTACCATTTTTCATTATAAGAATGATTGATAAAATCATTAGACCAAAATAAAGGTTTCTGTTCCTAAACTTTTTGAAAGACTGGACAGTATAGCACACAGACAGCTATCACATCTTACATTTATACAATTGAGGTTGACTCACTAGTGTTATTCAGTATTGATTAGAAGCTTCTTTATTCCTTTGTGTTTAAGTTTGAAGTCCTTCTAAATCTATTAACTGCATTGGTCTCCTGAATATTCTTTTTGCATGTTTTCAGATCAGCAGATCAAAGGCTTTGGAGCTGGAAGGGACTTCTGAGGTCACTTAACCCAATACCCTCATTTCACAGTTGAGAACCCAAGGCTACTGTAGAAGCCAAGTGACCTGCCCAAGATCACACAGCCAATGTTAAAGGTGGGCTTTGTACCCAGACCTTTGACTTCAAATCCAGCATTTTTTTCCCCACTGCCTCATACTCTTTCATTATATTAGAAGTAACTCATCGATAATATGCTCTACATGGCTTGTGTGGATACCCAGAGTAATACCTAGAACACTAGCTGCCATCTGTTGTTTCATGAACACGTTCTAAAATAGGAGATATTTAAGAACATGAAAATGACACACATTTTCCCCCGTGAAAACATCACATTCATAAATATCAAACACCATTAATCAGGTTGGATGGATGATGGAAAGGATGGAGAAACAGCCAGTTTTACTGCCGTCTATTTAAAATAAAAATAAAAAAACTAAATAGGAAGGAGTAGAGTTAGGTACTTATATTGTTTTTAAACATACATGAAAGGACAGAAAACAGTGATCAGGGAGAAGGGAGTTGGAGGAGCAAGATGACAAAGCAAACGGGAAGAGACAGCAGGAAAAGAAAGGCAACAGATAAACATTAAGCTGCCATGCTGAGGAATTTATTTGCGTCTTTTACTTGGTTGAAGGCGAAGCTGTTGCACAGCTGCTTCTGCGGCTGCAATGGCGGCCCCTGCATCTTCAAGGTGGGTCTGAGTGACACTGGTCTTGCTTTGGCTGCGTGATGGACCATGAGAGCGAAGATGGCCTTCAGAGGATGATTTTGAGCTCCCGGGACTACTATGGGATTTCTCAATTGTAGGTACCTGCATATCTGGGGAGAAAAGGATTGAACATCAACAGTATATTTGCTTTAAGAATCCTTTCTTTTCATCAGGCTTTATTTCCAGCCAGTTTGAGTGTTTAAACTTTAGACAACACACTTCAAAACAGTGTCCAAGTGGATAAAAGTAACTATTGCCAGTAAGCAACTATTCTCTCTCTATTTATAGTGAGGCTATAGGAGGCAACAGGATTAAAATGTTGAAGGAAGGTTTAAGTTAGACATTATGAATAAAGCCCTTCACCTAGAGTGGTGAAAGACTATGATACATCAACATAGAATGTTATGTCATCAAAGGAGATTGTAGAGATTTCTATTACTCAGTGAACAATTTTAGGGAGTAGATTGATAGCTAATTTTATCTATGATCTGAATGCTTTTCTAAGAAAAAGCAGAGGTAAATTAGATCATTTTTCAAGGTAAATTCAACTTTTATATAACTCTGAAGGAGGCTAGGTAATGTAATGAATATTAATGGGGGTGAGGGTAGAATGATAATTTGGAATCTACAAATAATCTCATTTTAGGCAATAATTTACCACCAAAACTTATGTGTAGGTATAAATTAATTTTCCTAGTTCCTAGTTACACTAAACTTCATTTTTTATTTCTTCTATTAACAAAGTGGATGAAAAAGAAACTATAGTGGAGTATCAAGAGCGTTATTTTAATTAATTAGCCAACTGTCATAAACATGGGTTTAATTCTAATAGATGTGTTAACTATTTCAGGAACACTTTTGTATGTCAATGAACCTCAAAAATGGAGTGGGTTAGTCAACTAGAAGGACTTGGCTCTTAATCAAACTAAATCCATTATAATATATGTATACTCAGAAACTATTCTATTAAAATATGATAGCCTCACTTGAAAATGTTGCATAATTAGAAATGCATATTTTAGAGAACAATAAATGGACATGCATAAATATATGAAAAATGTATTCTACTTGAAAGGTTTCCTACCCTTGGATGGATCAGGAAAGATTCCATGACTTCTGCTTTTGATGACAGATGGTTTTGGAGATTGCTGGCTGCTCTGACTAGAATGGGACTTTCCATGGTCGATACTTTCTGTTTGTTCTTTGAGAGGATACCATCGAGGGGTGTTGTCAAGGTGAGAAGTACTAGATAGTTCAATCAATACCTACAAAACAGAATAGAAAGTCAATGATAAAGCTATGAATCATTTACTCTCTTTAAGATAACATTTTTTGAAAAGTATAAACCAAAGTATATTTGACTATGCATACATTATATATGTATGGCATATACATGTATATACATATTTCTTTTCAACTTGGAAATTTCTAATAGAAATATGGGTTTTTATTGGCATATTGCATAGATTTTTTAAAGTTAATTTAAAATAATTATTTGACATTGTGTTCTACATATAAATTATCCAGAAAATTCTCACAATGATCTAATTTATATGCATGAAAATGTATGAATTTTTAGAATAGGTTTATTTCTTATTTCCTTATATTTTATGATTTATGTAAAATAATTTTTATGTTAACACATTATATACATTATATCCTTTAATGTCAAATGCATTGGATAGACTGTATCCACCTCTGTTTTATATCGAAAGGATATTACTATTCCTGGATACAGTCATTATTTCCAAATATTTGCTCATGTTTTCTGCCCAAAGCACTGTGAACCAAAACAAATGTATACTGTAGTTACTGTGGAAATAGATAACTGTTTATAGAACACACACATATGTGTGCACATGTATGTAGATCTGTCATCTATATATGCATGCTTATATATTCATAAAAACATATGCATCCATGACTATGTTATCTGACTGTCAGTCTGTCATTATAATGTAATGGATAAAGAACTGGCCAAAGAGTCCAGAAGACTTAAGTTCATTCAAATTTGGTCTTTAAAATATATCCTCTGGCTATGTGTAGGTCACTTAATCCCAGTTGTTTAATACCTTCAGGTACTTCCTTAAAAGTGTAAATTGTCAAGATTTAGATATGCATCTGAAGAGGAACTTTTCCAATCAGAACTCCCTAAAGTGGTGAAATGGGTCTACTGCATTTCAGATTTCTTTAGGGAATACTTTTTTTTTTTAAAGATAATGACATCAATTTATTCTATTGCTTCTAGTTTCTCCTAATAATGCAGTAGATCCATAATTTCATTAATGTGGATATTCATATATCATCAATGCAGATGCCAACTGATCCATGTCTACCCACCCTATGCACCTCTTGTCCACATGCTCCCATAAGGCCTCATAAGCATTTTATAAAATATCTTAGGGATTTTACTCTAATACTATTGACAATGCTGGGATACCAACTGGACCCAGAGTGGTCCCATTTTCTTAATATATGTTCAGCCATTCTTTTTTTGTCATACATTTCTTGGTAACATTCTTTAAACCAATGGTGTCAAACTCAGAAATGGTTACCACTAAATGATAAATAAGGATTCCTGTGCACTGTATATTGACTTAGAAAACTACATATTAATACTATTTGTGTTCTTTTGCATTTTTATTTATCTTGTTAAATATTTCCCAATCACATTTTAATCTGATTCAGGCCTCAGTGCAGAATGTTGTGGCATGCAGCTAATATGTTTGACACCTGTGCTTTATACCTCTTCTGCACAATTCCACATTTGGAACATTCTGTGGCTTATTCATATCCATCGTTTCTCTCTCTCTCTCTCTCTCTCTCTCTCACTGTTTATGTTATTTGTTGTTCACTTGGTTTGGTCATGTCCAACTCTTTGTGACCTCATTTGTTGTTTTCTTGGCAAAGATACTGGAGTGGTTTGCCATTTCTTTCTCCAGTTCATTTTACAGATAAGGAACTGAGATAAACAGGGTTAAGTGACTTATCCAGGATCTCACAGATAGTAATTGTCTGAGGCAGATTTGAACTCAGGAAAATTAGTCTTGTTGAATCCAAGCCTGGCACTCTATCCATTGTGTCACCTAGCTGCTCTCCTTTATGTTATACTCAGCTATAATTCTTCAAAGAGGGACAGTGAAATGACATAGTCATAGACTATTACCAGAAGAACATCAGTGTTAAATAGAGAAGCCTTTGTTTCAAAAAGCTGGACATTTTTGAGCAATAACTGCAATTTCTCCTCTTGTTCAATTTTTGGCCTCGTTAATTGTCTCATTAAAGTGCCTGTCTAAGATGATGGATGAGCTCCATGAGTTTCCATGAGGACATTCCTTGTCCCTCTTGCTACTAATGCCTTTTCTCTGATGTTACCTTCTATTTACATGAATATATCTTGTATTCATAGTTACATGAATGTCATCTTCCCTATTAAAATCTGAGCCCTTTGAGGTCAGTGACTATGACCCTTATCCGGACCCCCCTTCCCTCATCTCCAGTGCTTAGCACATATTAAGTGCTTAATAATGACTATTGATTGACTGTGTTGTCCAAACTGTGATATGCAATTGAATGGACAAGACATAGTTTTCATTCCCTCAGATTTTCCTGATTTTTCCTATGAAGGTGGTTATATTAAGGGTTTGGTTTTTTTTGAGTGACTATAGATCTCATTTAGGAATATTGGTACTGTATTGGGACTTGATGCAATCAGTACAATATCAGTATACAGGAGCTTCTGAAGGACCTCACCACATGTAAGAAACCTCTTTTGGCCTTTTGTTTCTAAGAATTCCCTTGTTTTCTTCAAGACTCAGCTCACATATCACTTTCTATATGAAACCTCCTTCCTATGAGCAATAATACTAATTATTATCTTTTCTGTCTGGGTTTATTACTCATCCACTCTACCTATTTGACTTAACTTGACTAGCAATTACGGCACTTTTGATACCTCCAGATGTTAAGTCCTTCCCTAACCCTAAGATCAAATTGTTATCTGCTTTGCACATGTGTTCTATATATGTATATGTGTGCATGTTATCACTCCAATTAGAATCTAGGCACCTTGAGAGAAGGCACTGTTTCACTTTAGACTTTGGATCTCCAATGCCTAGTATATAGTAGGGATTTAATAGTTTGTTCATTAGTGTGCTGATTGATTCATTTTCTCTATGCCTTTGATATGATCCCTCTTCTAAATATTTTGATAATCCAGCCCTCTATCACCTACCAATCATGTCACCTCCAATAGGGATTTCCTTTGAATATAAAAAATCTAGGGCAGATTTGTTGGGAGTAACTTCTTCATCTTTGTTTTCTTCAGTGCTATTTCCACTTTGTGCTCAATATACCTTCTTAAAACTATTCTGATTCATTGCTTTTGTGTGTGCTTATTCAAGAATAAGTTTTTCTATTTGCAAGTCAAACTATGTCAGATGAACAGAGTAGATTATCATTTAACCTAACAAAAAGAATAATGAGAGTATTTATTCAAAAGTCCAGTGAATTTTCAGTGCACTGTAAGTGAAATGTTATTTCAATAATTAAAATGACAACAATAATTAACACTAAGTGCTAGGCATTGTCCTAAGCACTTTACAAATATTATCTCATTTGATCTTCACAACAACCCAGTGAGGTAGTTGCTATAACCCCATTTTACAGATAAAGAAATCGAGGCATAAAGAGATTAAGTTGCCTTTTTCAGGATTACAGTGAGGCCATATCTGAACTCAGGTCTTCTTAATTCCAGGCCTAGTGCTCTATCCTTGGCCCTACTTAGAAGAGCTGTGATTTTATCAGCGCATTTATTCCTTTTATTGCTTCTTATCACTTTTTGACTCATGAGACAGATTCCTAAAATAGCCTAGGCTTAAAAAAAATCACCTTGTGTCTAAACTTTTGGTTATGGTCTTTCCCTAACATAACCATTTGGTCCTTGCACAAAAGTCATTGGTGAGAAGTTGTCATAACTAGTCACCTGAGAACTCAGGGTAACTTTTGTCCCTTGACAAGATTTGGAGTGACAGCAGTAAATTTTTAATACATTAATTATAGGTAATCATTAAATGTAAATGGAATTTGCATTGTTAGAGTATAGAATCCTTTCTATATTAATATTTTATTTTGGGAAATTTCTTCACAAAACAAGATGCCATGTGGCAAAGTGAATAGCCTAGATTGCTACAGCTGCTGTGAAAGTAGCATGTGAACCCATAAGATTAATGCAAAATGGAAAAAAAAGTCATAATCAACTAAGGGATTTAACCATAAAAATAGTTTGCTTAAAAGATGTTAAAAAAAAAGAACAAGGACAACACATTTACCATCACGCTTGTGTCAGAAAACTGATCCTACAGTCTGAAGTAATCTTTTGTTTACAAGGGCACAAAGAGTGAAACTTACCTCACCAAGAAAGTCATTGGAAGAGAATCTATCATAATCCCAGACTGTCACTTCCAGTGTTTTCTTCTTGAGCTATGGTTTAAATCAAAATGTAATTAACCCCAATTTCCATCATGCACTTCTTATTTCAGCCACACAATAGACTCTATTTATTACCACTTGCTTGTACTCCTTTGTAATATGACAGGAAGGCAATTTTCATTTCTCTGTAATAACCTTGGTCTTGGAAAAATTACATCTCAAGCCAGATGGGTTTATATTAGACAATACATTAAAGTTCAATGACTTTTGTAAGGGAGTCTAGATTTTGATTAGGAGGGTCAAATTGTTGAGCATGCAAAACATTTGGATTACTGCCATTGATGTTTAAAAAAAGTTTTTCTGAAGAAATATCTGTAATTCAATTCAACATTCACTGAATTTTCAAACAAAGACATATGTATACATATATCTTAGTGCCCTACTTCAGAGAGTACTTTCAGTGCTGACTTTTTTGGATCTCACTTGAATTTCTAAAACCTAAAAATATTTCTGAGTAATCAGGAGTCTATTACATGGAATGCTAGCTTTACTTCAAAGACAAACTTTGTGTTTTTTGAAATTAGAATAATGGGCTCCTGAGACAATAAATCCTGAGCTTGAAGGGACCATTGGGGCCATTTAGTTAAAACACTTTCTTTTGCAAAGGAGAAAACTTGAGGCCAGACACTAAATAACAGAGATGGAACTTGACCATAAGTTCTATTTATTGAAATATGCTGATATTTCCTGGACATGCATATATGACCCATAGTTACTATATACAGAGATAACATCATTATTAGAAACTGTTTAGGACAGGTAATGACCTGAATTTAGCACCCAGTTCAACCACAAGAAACATTTGCTTATTTCCCTAATTTTGTTGGAAACTGTCTAAATTTCCATCATATTTCAGAAAACTTTGCAATTATTAAAAAAAAGCTTCACTATTTCATAAGTTTTTTTCTTTCTGAAGAATATTAGTTTGATATTACCTATAGCTATAGGTTTCACAGAAGTGTGCATAAATATGCACATAATTCATTGATTTGGACAGGAATAAACAAGTTTAGATATAGAAAAAAGAATTCATGAAAAGGGGAAATTTATAGCAGGATCAGCCTGTTGACATTATCAGTCCTATTTTAGGAAGAACATTTTATTCAACAAATAGTGGATTTTTTTCCCCTGTAGATTTCTGAGTAACATGAAGAATCAAAGCTGGGAGTTAAATTTTTATCAGGACATCAAAGTTGAATTACCCTTCATTTTAAAAAATCAATAATTTAAATCTTTCAAAAAAGGTTATTTTTTTCAGGATAGATATAACTTGTGTATCACAATTTTGGTAGAAAGAATCTGTATAGAAAAAGTTTTTTTTTAACCCTTTTTGTGTCATGGACTCTTTTGTGAGTTTGGCAAAACCTATAGACACTTTCTCAAATATTTTTAATGAATAAAATAAGATATTTAGGATTTCAAAAAAATCAATCATATTGAAAAATGTTTATCAGAATATTTTTAAAAGTTTGCAAAATCCAAGTTAAGAGCTGTTGATGCAACTGATTTCTACATAGTGATGTTAAATAATATGAAAATTCAATATTTATTATTATTGTCATAAATGAGCAAGCTTAGGCACCCACAACTACCCCTTTGAAAGTATAACTATTAATAAGTTTGGGGAGGGGATCGATACTAAAGCAGAACTAATTACATGGGATGCATTGCTTTCAGTTTCTCCCTAAAAAATGCAGCAAATGTCTACTGCTTTGAACATCTGTTCTTGATATATCATAGTGATCCTCTTACTGTTCTATTAATAGAGATTTTTTTCTGCCTGTATTTAAAGTTGTATACTGTCAATTATTGTCTCGTATTCATGCAAATTTTATGAAATGCAGATTTTTCTAAACTGACAAACAGAAAATCCAAGCTAGAGACAGCCTGCTGTAACTTTGCAGACAATCACTAGCCTGGGCTGGTAACTAGGCTGGTTGTCTAGCACACACTGTTTATCTTAATCATTTTGCTTTCTGTGTATAGGCAGGCCTAAACCCTATTGAAGAAAGACATGTTTCTGAAAAATGTCGAAGTGTATATTTCTATATTGAATCCCATTTTTTTCCTTGGGAGTACATCATAAAAATCAAAATATGTCATTTTACAAAACATTTTGGCCTCAAGATAGAATAAAAGTGGACCAAGCTATTGAGGTCACATAATTTTTATTCTCTTCACTGAGGTGAATGGAAATCCCTGGCTGTCTCCAGAGAGATTGCCTAGGGCCCTTCTTGTGATGTTGTCTGACAATTTCCCCCCTTTATTGTTTTTGCTACAGCATTTTCCCTACAATCACTCCCTTGGGTAACTTTCACCCATTGTCTTTCTCTTTAAGGTTCTTTCATTCTATTCCATAGTTTTTTGTTTGCCATCTCAGAAATGATATTTTTGCCAACTGGAGCAAAGTAACAACAAAAGAAACATAACATGGGGTGATTTTGAATATTAGTGATGATACAAATATAGTTCATTTATCCTACATAGTTAGAACAGAAGGTATTTCACATAACTGCATTTTTTCAGATAAGTGAATTTTATTTTTTTAAGTTGGGCATTCTTAACTGGGATTCATGAACTTAATTTTTTTTGAGTAATTCTATTTCAATTTCCTTTGTAATGCTATATGTTTTATTTTATTCATTTTAAAACAATATTCTGAAGAGGGATCCACCAGACTGCTAAATGTGTTTAGGAAACAGAAACAATTAATAATCTGTTTTAAAATTACTAATTTTTTATAAAAATATCATATCATTCTTTGCCATCTTAAGTTGAAGATAATGAATATAAGTTGTTACTTTGACTAATAGTCTTCAATATGAGTATCAATTATTCTTTTGTTGAATTTTTTTCAAGTCTGAGATTCAATTTGGGTTCCAATACAGCTCATCAATTAACCTGCAAATTATAGTTCTAGTTGCTTTAGGCATTGAGATTTTAAGTTATTTGTCCCAGGGTTATACAACCAGTATATGTCAGAACTCAAGTCTTTCTGATTCTGAGGTCATTCCTCTATTCACTACTTTTTGCTTCTGCTTATATCAATTATTGTAATACAGTATATTGTAGGGATAAGGAGTTATTGATGCATAGTAGGGCTCTTTGGTCAATACATGAAATATTAATTCACATTTTATAGATCTTCTCATTAAGTTTTACAATATATTTTATTTGCAAAAACCCTGTTAGGTAAGTAGTAGAGGTATTATTATCAGCTTTTGTAGACAAGGAAGCTGAGTCTCAGAGAGGTTTGACCATTGTCACAAAGAGAATAAACAAAAGAGCCATGACCTTCAACCAGGAAAAATTAAGAACTTTAAACATTTTCAGTATATAGAATTTCTATTATTTTGATTTCTTGCATATCAACTACCTGGTCATATAGCAATGAAAAGCACTGTACTTTATGGAATATGAATCATAAAAAGACTATTACATACCTGTTCCATGGAGATATTTTTATAAATTACTGTCTGATTCCATTCTGGATTAAGACTTTTCTGAACATATTTAGTTCTCCTCTTATATTCAGCACTGAATTGGAAGGAAAGAAGATATTGAATGATGCATCCTAAATGACAGCATCAGAGTTAACTGTGGGAACATGCAGGATGCTCAAGATGATGACAATTGCACTTTTTTGAACTATACGTACAGAGGATGGAAAAATTCAAGCATGCTCATATGTAATTCTTTAAAAACTCACCTCCAATCTTCAACTAAAAAATCTATGCTACTGATGAAAAATCATTATCTAATTCAATTTTTCCTTTCAATACATTTTGGAGAAATTATTTCAGCCTCCCGCCTCCTTCTTTGTTTATCAAACATTAGTAGTCTTTATGACTAATTTTACCATAATTTTATAATCTTGATCACTTCAGAATATGTAGAAGGCTACTAAATAAAATTTATGCCGATATCATTATTCTCTTACCACTAGAAACACAGATTTCATGATGTAATCAGAGACAAAATTAAATTTCTTAGAGGGGTGCTAAAAGAGAAAGATACACATAACTATAACCAATGATTCTTGGGAACCATTCACCTTAAATCTTATGTGCTTTGACAAGCACTATGCATAGATGTTATAACTTTATATACTTGTATTACACACAAAATTTTTACTAATGCTAGTTAATATCAAAAATAGGTTTGTTAGGAACAGTACCTCAGATCTTACTCTCCTGTAAGGTCTAATCCTTTTTGCATTTTATTCCTTTTTGTTTTTTTTTTCCAGCACCTCCCTCAGTGTTTTGTACATCATAGGCACTTCCTGAATATTTGTTGGACTGGAGTGGACTAAATTAAAACTTGAATGTATAGCATTATTTTGATTCCTAAACAATCTATATGAAAGAATACTATTTGATAAGAATAGCAATCGACAACCATTTCATTAGATTGTAAACTCTTTGAGGGTGGGGACTGCCTTTTGCCACTATTTTTCTCCCCAGTGCTTAGCACAGTTACTGGCACATAGTAGGTACTGAAAACATTGATTGAGTTTATCAGTTTTAAATAATTATAACATAAAATTACCAGCAATTACTAATTGTAATCTTTACATTTGATTTTTAAAGAATAATCCTGCTAAAGCAGAAAATGCTCATTATTTCAACTTGAATTGTTAAAAAATTGTTAATTGATGTTTTTATCAATGAGTGTTCTTTCAGTTAAGTTGTTTAGAAGTGAAAGCTATGTTACCAGTTATAAAATTTGTATTTCTTTTCAATTAGTTATCAAAGCAAAGATATCAAATGATTATATAGAAAGGTACATTTTGGATATGTTTTATAGGCAAATTTTTTCATCAATGACACTAAAAATGGTCATTTGAAACAAAAATTTAGTAGACTGAGTTCTCAAGCATTTTTTTATTTGTGAAAAAAGGGACAAAATTCCACATATTATCCCATGGACTTCAACTTATACTCAATTCCGGCAATGTGAATCTCCATTTAAAGAAATGCATTGTTGGATTGCAAAGCTGATTAGTAGTGTTTTTCTAATGATCCACTTAGACTCAAATTATCATATAACTATTACATCAATATCCCCATTGTCCAGATAAATCCATAAGTTCTTAATTTTCATTAAACTTGTTAAAATTAATTTTAAGGTAGTATTTAGTGCCACTTATATTAATATACATAATTTTCTGTTCATAATTCCTTTGCATAGACAATTGACCATGCAAGCTCAAAAATGTTGTCCTAATGGGTAACGTTGGTTCCCTTACATCAGGTACCTTTGTCTATGCTACTCTCACCAAAAGACTGGAGTCTGTCAGTAGCTACTTGATTATTATAGGAAAGTGATTCTTTCTGAGATTGAACATAAATTCATCCCTAGAAAAGATTTTTAGGAAAGGAACTAAAAATCTTTCTCTTTTCTACATATTTGTGAAATATTTTCCTTCAGGAAATATAATAGAGAAGAAATCCACCTCATATTCCCCCTATGACTATTGAACTGTATCTACCTAACAATCAAACTCCTGGTTATAAAATAAAAAAATAATCTAGTTAATTGATACTTTTTTTTTCTAAGTGAATCCACTGTTTCTCAAGAATCCTCAAAAATGTTTCTTTGTGCTTTAAGAATAGATTGAATTATTGTATCCTTGTCCTCACAAATGTCTTTTAATTGATTTGTTTTTCCATTCAGGTGTGGTTATTGATAAAACAATATATTTTTCTTCATTTAGTATTTTCTATAATACAGAATATTGAGAAATTTTTCTTTTATTTTGGAAGACAGCCTTATGTGGGGCTTGTTTTTCTCTTTTGCTTGAGTGCTGATTGAAATCTCTTCTCTTTTAGTTTCACTACTTTAAAAAAATGCATTAAAAAATTTATAGAGGCCCAGAAGCACTGTGTCAAGAAGCAATAACTACCTAGAGAAAATCCAGAGGAGAACTGAGCAAGAAGCATTATCATAATTGTTCAACAAAATTCCAGTCAGCAAGATAGAGGAAATAAAACCTTCCACCCAGGGCACACAATTTGGATAATGTAAAGAAAGCAGTATAATTCCATTCAGCTGTTCAATGACAACATATCACTCATCTTTAATAAAATCATCTTTCAATTGTCTAGACCTCAATTATAAATCTCTGTATCATTTAAGCACTTTGCTTCCATTTTCCTTCTCTCTTGTTGTTTGACTTTTGAACGGTGACCTGCTGATTATCACTTTCTCTTGAGGATAGGAAGAAAAAAAAATTCAAGTAAAATAAATTTAAACTAAGCATGTTTTCTGCTTGTTTGGTGAAAGTGGGTTTTGGTAAAAACTTAAAATAAGGCAGAAACTAGAAATGTTATAGATATTAGAAGGGCACAATTATCAACTAAAATGATTCTTCTTGATCCATGTTATCCCTGTATCCCATTACCATAATTAATTAACAGCTCACATATATAATTAAAAATAATAGCTAACATTTATATAAAGTGCTTATTATGTGCCAGGCATTGTGTTAAGCTATTTACAAATATTATTTAATTTGATTCTTACAATAATCCTGAAAGGTAGTTGCTAATATTATCCTTATGTTACAGTTGAGGAAATGTAGCAGAGAGAGTTTAAGTGACTTGTCCATGGTCATACAGATAGTAAGTGTCTGAGACTGGATTTGAACTCAGTTCTTCCTAATTGAGCACCAGTACTCTATTCATTATACCATCTAGTTGCCCTTACATATATTATATGATATGATTTAATATAATACAATGTAACAGCATAATATGATGTAATGCCAATATGATATGAATGATAAAACATAGTATAACATGCTATGAAATGTTATGTAATATATATAGAATATAATATAGTATAACATCATAACATAATTAACATACATGTATATAATGATTTTTAAATTAAATTATTTTTCCCCAATTAACAAGTACTTTTTTTCTCTCCCTTCCACCTCCCTATCTTCTGGAAAAAAAAAGAGAAACAAAAAAACTTTAACAAATATGAATACCCAAGCAAAACAAATTTTCACATTGGTTATGTTCAAAAATGTATGTCTCATTCTGCATATTTAGTCTTTTACCTCTATGTGATAGTTTTTAAATGATATCTTTTAATTTTATTTTTTCCATATTACACCATAAAAAACTTGGCTTGAAGATCTGCTATAGTACAATCTAAGATTTTCCATACATTTCCAATCATCATTATTATTTTTAACATAAACATACTAATTATTGTGTTCCATCATGCTGAATTAAGAAATATTGACATATCTTATATTTTTGCTCCTCCTTACTCTGGTTAATAGGACAAGAAGGTTCTGAATAATGTGATTGATAATATTTGTCCTAGCATGGCACTATCTCTTTGAAACAGAACTGTTTTCATGCTTACTTTGGAGAGATAGGGAAAGGATTCTTAGGTAAGAGAGTCAACCATAACAAGAAACCTGCAAAACAGTCAAATTTCCTTGCTTGTGATATTGTGTAGATGTAATTGAACGGAATGTTTCTGGGCAAATGAAAGGCTCTGGTGACTATTCCTATTTTTTTTTGCAATATTTGTGCCTTTAAAAAATAGATGTTATTATTGTTGTTGTTATCATTATTGTTATGGTAGCAGCTTGTCAGGATTAGTAGAGATGTCATAAAAAAACCGCATACAAAAACAAATGCTGTAGGAGGTTTGTTTTGGGTGGGATTAAAATTCTTGTAATCCCATTTCTATTGATAGCACACATTTCACCTCTTTGCCAAAAATAGTACATTCGATTTGTCATGCAAATGGGAGATTCCCGTAAAAAATTTGTACAGCCATATATTATGAGTTGTCCCTTTATAGAAGCATAAATGATGATGCTGTTTCTGCCATCCTTTTCCTATGTAGCTGGAACAGGTTCCTCCAGCAATCCAGCTTCCTGATGTTGACAGGAGGTGAGGGAGGGTGTGGTATGGCAGAGCTACAACACCCCTAAGAGAGTGGCAGGACATCTACTGTGAAGGTAGAACAATGCTAGGGATGTGTGCCAACATCGCATATCAATTTTGTATTCTGTTTAGGGGAGGCAAAGTGCAAATTGAAAGAAAAAAAATACCTGAGGCAATTACATTCTAAATTAGGAAGATTGACTGAGTCTCTTTGCAATAGCCTTTGTGCATTCCTCCATGAGCAGGTAACTGGGAACCCAGAAATACCGAGCTTTGAAGGTTGTAAGAAGGGAGCTTTCAGAATTGTGGTGGATAGAATAATAGATAATTTGGTCACATCCAATTCTGATGCATATTATGTAGACCCAATCTAATGGCAAATGCCTTCTTTCCACATTCAATTCCACTTTCATAAAGGTTAATGGACAACTAACATTTGCATTAAATTGGAAATTCAATGGATTGGAAATGCCACAGATTGGCAATAAAGTTGAATGAATAAAAAGGGGACCAGAGTATTCAGTCTATCCCATTCACTTACTTTATTTTAAATAACTATATATTTCAACCCCTCTTACATCTTCATATTCTGTATGTTTTAGTTTTGTAAAATTTTAAGACCTCAAATAACTATATTAATAATGATGTTACTATTTTGACCAGACATAACAGATACTGTGTATAGAATCAATAATTATGTAATTATTTTTCTGTCATGTGTAACATATACTAGGTAATCAAATATGTGGATGTAACTTGAGAGATCAATTGATTCATTCATTTTAGATTACTACAATAATCTTGTATTTGATTATGTTGAGTGGAAATTTTGCCCCGTATTTACATCTTTCTATTGATTGTCTATACATTGCCTTGAACTGTCTATGGGTAAATGAAAAGCTATTTGTGCTCAAGCAGTTTTCATTGATTTCATTTGTCTATTCTACAACATAGTTTCTAAAGTAAATTTCTTCCAAGTTAAAAACAATTTCCAAAAGGAAACTATTAAAAATGGTTTTTTTTTTACTTATTCTGTGTTTCTCTGTTGTGAATATGTTTGGTTAGTTCAATCAAAATATAAGTCAAATGTTGGTAAAATGAAAATTTTCCCTACTTCAGACTGTCAGTTTGGGTGTCAAAACAAAACCTTTAAAATAAGTGAAATTTGGAGGTTATAGATACATCATGATGATTTTTTTCTAAATCTATTGAAAGGTAATTGGAAATAAATGTTGGAATGAAGTTTGGCAACTCATTTCTGCAGATGCCAAAGAATAAAGACCACTATTTCAGTTTTCTCTGTGTGATATAATAAATGATTATTGATTGATTGTGGGTTTCCCTTTGGTGGAGATTTTACACTGAGGGATGATTATGGGATCAGATTATATGATTAGGAGAATGTTATTAAATCTAAAATCTCTGCTGTATGCATGTGTTTAGTTTTGAAATACAACAAAAATGTTTTTTATTTTCATAAGTGGAGATATTTAGTTTTTGTTTGTTTGTTGTTTTTTGTTTGTTTTTTTTTTGCTAGGCAATGGGGTTAAGTAACTTGCCCAGGGTCACACAGCTAATAAGTGTCAAGTGTCTGAGGCTAAATTTGAACTTGGGTCCTCCTGACTCCAGGGCTGGTACTCTATCACTGCACCACCTAGCTGCCCCTATTTATTTTATTTTGTTTATTTATATCTTAGAGGTGTAATTGGATCAAATCATGAATATTTAGAATTCAATGGAATCTTATTCTTTGAATCATTTGATAATTTAAGTCATCTTTATGATGGGTCAGTATTCATCCAGAAACACATAGGAGCCAGTGCACATTTTTATTGCTCTGCACAAGGATTAGGTCAAGGTAAATTTAACAAAACTCTGATAGTACAGTAATATCTAGCATCTAAAGGTAGATTCACAAGTCATCAAGCCATAAAAAGAATAAAAATATGAACAATTAGAGCTGCAATGATTCTATGTGCAATCATGCTTGCATGCATCCACTAAACATACATGACTCCAAAGGCAGTTCAAAGCATGACACTGAAAGCTAAATCACTCTACCTTGCATTCTGGACAACCATGACTTGGCTGCATGGGTTCACCAAAGGGACATAAAAATGGTGAAGTGGGAAAAGAGCAACAGGGGTAAAAAGGAGAGAAATTAGAAACATGAATAAATAGCATAGTAACTATGTGATAATTATAGAGAGAGTCAGAAATTAACATTGGATGGAAGAAGGAACTAAAACCTGAAAAACCCAAATAATATGATCTAGGACATATTCATGATTCACATTCTCAAAAATTTCTGTTTGAAATATTGTTAATAGACAGGGCTAATGGTTCAGGCAGCAAAATGTTCATAAGTATTACCATTCAATAACACCCTGTAGCTCCTAGCATGGCTAGTACAATGTCTGCTGAAATCTAATACTGACATATTGTGATCTGTTTTCTAACTGAAGACTTTTCATTCCCTACCATAGGCAGTGGAGATTCTCAGTTTTCTGGAGTTTGTTGAGAATTCTAGAATGTAATCATAGAATGAAAAACAGTACCCTTGTTTATCAATAGTAAAGAGAAAGTAACTGAAAGCATCTTACTTCACTAAAAATAAATACACATAGTGTTTTCTTCTGTCCAGCACTGTGATAACTATGAAACAACATCTGCAGTCCAGAGGACATTTCTACGGAGAATATTATTTTTTGTTCCTTCACCACCTCTTTGCTCGTCCCTTCATCCTTGTATCAGCTTCCTTAATCATCACTGGTAGTTCAATTATCCCAAACTATTTTAAAAGCAAATAAAGGCTCATGTCTTGCTAACTAAATCCTTGATTACTCTCACTTATTCACATACTGCTGAACAGAAAATCATTAAATTATGCTGGCTGGATCCACTACAAATTTATGATATCTCAACTGGGTCTTCACTGTAGCATATCAAATATTCAATTCCTCCCCAATAGATTCATTTTCCTCACTTTCCATAAAGCTTCCCATGACATCCCTTCAGTTAAATATCTTGCCTCACATTTCACAGAAAAAAAATTACAGAGACTTCTCCTACTTTTCCATACCTCCTCATCTCTGATCATTAAGATATGCTCTCCCTACCCCCAACATATGCACCACTTCTTTCACTTTAGTCTTAGATAAAGAGGTGGTCCTTTCCAGAGCTACTCTGGATCTCATCTCTTCCCTTCCCATCTTCTTTATCAGATTATCTCCACTATCATGCTGCCTCCTCCACCTTTTCCTTCTCAATATCTCCCCATCTATTGGCTTTTTCAATGCTACAAATGTGTCTGTTCCTTTCCTAATGTCTCCTCCATCTTTAACAAATCCTTAACTGATCCTAACATCTACCATCTACCATCCACCATCCACCATCCACCCCAGGAAGGAAGGAAGGAAGGAAGGAAGGAAGGAAGAAAACAAATTTTAATTGAGCTCCTACCATGTGCAAGGCACTGTGATAAAGGATTTACATATATTTTCCTATTTAATCCCTATTAGTGATATTAGTGTTATTATTATCCCCATTTTACAGTTGAAGAAACTGAGGCGGGTAGAGGTTAAGTGACTTACCCTGGGTCACATAGCCAGTAAGTATCTGAGGTCAAATTTGAACTCAGGTCTTCCTGCTCCCAAACCCAGAGCTTTATCACTGGGCCACCTAAGCTGCCTGTAGGTAGTGCCTGAAATCTCTTTCTTTTTCTTCTAATCTTGAAAAAGACAATTACAATAGGTGCCTCCACTTCTTTAATTTTCTTCTAAATTTGGAAATCTAGCTTCCAATGTCACTGATCAACTGAAACCATCCCCTTCAAAGTTACCAATATTGGTTGCCAAATATAATTACCTTTTCTTTCCATCCCCTTGACATTTCTGTAGCAATCAGAACTCTGGATCACCTTTTCCTATACACTGTCTCCTCTCTTTCCTGTCTTCATTTTACTCCTGTCTGTCTGACATCTCTCTTCATTCTCCTTTGCTACCTCCCAGGTAGTTAAACCACTTTAATTCCTCTGATATAAATGGTCCAGAAAAACCATAGTAGTGCTCTTGTGCAAAAACAGATTTATAAAAGCTTTTAAAATATTTATAGGCCAGAATATAATCTTTATCACATTTCACACAAACAGTAAGCATCTTCAAAGAGCTCATATTTTGTACCAAGCAATTGATAGATCATAGTAGTTGGGGGGTTCAAAAGGAATCTTTATTATTTTCCTGACAAATTAGAATTTTCAAAGATAACTAAATAGCTTTAAGCAACAAATCTGGCAGATACTTAATGACTATTGAATGATGTTACATGTTCATGTCTATTCAAAAATTAATTTATGTAGTTTTGAAAGTTGCTTTGAAAAGACCAATACACTTGAAAATTTGGATCAATTTTTAAATTTTACTATGTTAAGTTTCCCCCATTGTAACTGATACTGACTTAGTGTGTATGAAAAAATAGATGTCCATTAAACACTTCTTTCATGAGCTTATTTGCTCATGGATTTTTGAGAATTAATTACTAATTAATACTAGTTGTCTATCAACTTACAGTAAATGCATGCAATGTGAAGGAGATCAAAAGTGTTTTGAAGGTAAGACTGTTAATATTATCAGTATTTTTCAAAGCATAGGAATATAGATATAGAATTATAAAGGGCCCCAGAGGCCACCAATCCAATCCTGTCATTTTAGACACGAGAAAACAGAGGCCCAGGAAAGTTAACTGATTTTCCCAAAGTCACTTAGTCTGTAGGCATCAGAGGTAAGATTAGAACCTAAGTTCTTAATGGGGAACATCTTTTCTAAATTGGTTGGTTAATACTGATTTTTATAATAAATTTCTTCAGTACTTACCCTCTTCCCGGAAGAAGATACACTTTAACAAAAGGATCAGAATATCCATTGTTGTCTCGGGGCACAAGATTTCTTGCTTGGAGAATATGTATAATAAGGTTTCCGAGGTGTTTGTCATAGTTGATTTGAAGCTATAGTGAATATTACAATATTTGGTTAAGTTGGGTTTTTTTGACTACATTCAAGGAAAATATGACTTCCTCCAGGAAGCTTTCTCTGATTCCTCCTACTCATAATGACCTTCCTACTGCAACTGCATGAACACTTTTTTTTTTTACAACTCTGTAATGCATTTCATATTTAAAATTTTGCATTATCTGTATGTGTAATGGAAGGCAGCACAGCAGCTCAGTGAATTGAGCACCAGTCTTAGAATCAGGATTGGTCTGGGTTCAAACTTCAATGGCAATAACTCTTGGTTTTGTGACCCTGTGCAGGTCACTTAGCTTTTGTCAACTTCAGTTAAGAGTCCCATTATACTGGGAAGTCCTGGAGAGAAGGAACTGTTTTTGTTTGTGTTTCTTTGTATCTCTTGGCACATTGTAGGAATTCAATAAATTCTAGTTGACTCAGTTGACTCAGTTGCCTCATCTTTCAAATGAGGTTAATGTTGCCTACAGTACTTATTTCACAGGTTTCTTATAATAATTGAATGAAATAATATATGTGAACTGTTTTACCAACTTTAAAAGTTTTATTTTGTTGCTATTGTTATTCATTTTTCAGTTGTCTAACTCTTCAGGATCCCATTTAGGGTTTTCTATTTCCTTCTCCAGCTCATTTTACAGATGAGGAAACTGAGGCAAATAGGGTTAAGTGACTTGCCCAGGGTCACACAACTAGTAAATGTCCAAAGCCAGATTTGACCTCAGGAAGATAAGTCTTCTTAACTCTAGGCCCAGCACTGTACCACCTAGATGCCCTGTTTTTATCATTACCCCTATATAAATTTATTGAGGATAAGGGCCAGTCTTACCTTTACTTTCATCCCATTCCTAGCTCCCACCCTCAGTACTTAGCACAAGAAGTGCTTAATAAATGTTTGTCCCTGAATTTGTTGTATTTTCTTAGAAAAAAAATTCTCATTGATTACAGGAGTACTTGCTTTCATCTAATTAAAATGAATAATAACTACTCTGTAAAAGAAATGATTGAATCTTTATTTAACATTGAAGTAGCTTTCTCATTCCTAGATCATGTTAAAGGTAGCATTTCACATTTATATGTGTTTAGAGTTTACACAGTTGTGTGACAATTGCAAGTATTACTGCTTTCATTTTGCAGATGAAGAAAATGAGAATAAGAGAAATATAAATGGTCCAAAGCTACATATGTACTATCAAGTGCTCTTTCCACTATGCAATCCTTTCTCATTTCCTATTCATTGCAAAGGAGAAAAAAAGTGCAGGCCTGTTAGCATGCGTTTCTGAAAGAGAAAACTTTATAGGAATATCACTTTCATTTTAAAATAAGTCTTTGGAGTTTAGAACAATGACTAATTCTTTGAATACTTATTGGCTCATTCAGAATAAAATATACAATTGATATCTTTGTCAGAACAAGTAAATTGCTTTTCCCCACTACATGATTAGCCAGGGTATTGAGATAGATACTATTCAGAGAAAGATACTTCAGGCTAAGAAGATAAGTATGGTGAAAAAAGGCATGCAATTAATGAATTTCTATGTGTTATGCTAACTCTCTGATGATAATCTTACAGCTCTGTTCTCATTCCATAGTTTTCAACAGAACAAGAGCTTGGGGTAAAATAATCTGTTAAAGTCTTTTTAATCTTGGAAACTAGAAGTAATACTATGACACTGTTATAATTGATGGTCTTGAATGATTCTTTAACTATATCTTCATAATGCTAATACATTGAAAAATGAAACCAATTAAGTCAAATATGGTGATATAAGTCAAACTTATGATGAAGTCAATAAAATGCAAAATAATTGGCTCTGATGTCTTTCTAATAAATTGTGTAATTGTTTTGGCATCATATAGACATAGTTTTCTTCCTTTTGGATGCTTTGCTTCTGATTAAGTAAAAAAAAACAACAACACAAACTTTAAATATATGAAAATGAACATAATATCACAAACTTTAGACAGGGAACTTTACTACTTTGAAAATGCAACAGGCAGTTAGAGTGTCTATACTACTCTTTTAGATTGAGTAATGTCTGTGATCATGGAGCAATGATGGCAAATTTAGTGGTGGTTTGTAATTATAGGTGGTAAGATGTTGAATTAATTTTACTGCTTACTTTAAACTAAGTCTGAGTGAATTTGACATTGATTTTTGGCAAAATTCTAGGATAGATTATTAAAGGAACAGGTTGTGAGCACTTATATTTAAAAACAAGTTATCCCAGACTCAACTAATTTTTGAAAGAATTACTAGATTATAGATGAGGGAGATCCCGTTAATCTAGAGTATTTGAAGTTTAGTAAGGTATTTGACAAATGCTCTCATAGTACTCCTGTGAATAACGTGGAGAGATATGGACTATACAATAAAGTATGTTCAGGACTGAATAATTGACCAGACACAGAAAATATTAAAAAATGGATTAATATCAACCTGGAGGGACATTTGTTCTATTTAACATTTTATCAATAAGTCTTGATAATTTGACTTTCTTTTGTTCTATTCTATCATTAACACTGGAATACAGATATAGTTATCATACTTAGCAGACTTATAGATAGTATTCAGCCTGGAGGGATAACTTGGACATGAAAGAATTAAGATTGAAAAAATCTCTATAGGCTAGAATGGTGAGCTAATGCTAACAAGATTTAATAGATGGAATTTTATAGATAATATTAATAATGCAATATCATAATCTCTATAAATTAGGAGTTAATAGGATCATATGTTTAGAACTGGAAGAAAAACCTAGAAGTCATCATGTCCAATTCCTCATATTACAGAAGAGGAAACTGATACACAGAGAAATTAAATCAATTACTTGAGTCACACAAATCATAAATACACAAATATAGAATGGATGGTGATGTGTCCAGATAGCAGTTCATATAAAACAGATTGATTGTGGACAACAGGCTGAATGAGCCAGTAGTGTGATGTGTCAGCTAAAAGAACTAATGGGATCTTAGATAGTATGAATAGAATATTTTGTCCAAACCAAAGGTCATGGCATTCAAGCTCTCATCTTCCCTGCTCAGAGAGATTGTGTATATTTCTTGGCACACAGTTGTGAAGGGGATGTTTACAAGGAGCAATGCATGAATGGAAGACTGACCAGGACAAGAAGGGGAATTAAAACTGGATTAATTGAAGGAATTGAGGGTTTTTTTAACCTGCAGAAGAAAGACACAGGCCAAAGGGAAAGATATGCCCAACTGAATGCAGAATTCCAGCAAATAACAAGAAGAGATAAGATTTTCTTAAATGAGTAATACAAAGAAATGGAAGAAAACAATAGATTGGGAAAGACAAGACATCTTTTCAAGAAAATTAGAGATATCAATAGAACATTTTATGCAAAAATGGGTATGATAAAAGAGAAAAATGGTAGGGATTTAACAGAAATACAAGAGATTAAGAAGAGGAGGCAATAACGTACAAAAGAACTATACAAAAAAAAGATTGTAACATGATGGTATGGTTACTGATCTAGATCTAGATATCCTAAGGAATGATGTCAAGTGGGCCTTAGGAAATATTGCTAGCAATATGACTAGTGGAGGTGATGGAATTCCAGCTGAGCTATTTAAAATCCTAAAAGAAGATGCTGTTAAAGTGCTGCATTTAATACGCTAACGAATTTGGAAAACTCAACAGCGTCCAATAAAAAGATTAGATTGTTTTAGTTTAGAAAGAAATATGAAACAACTACTATGGGAAAAGAGATTTCTCCAAGTTTTAAAATAACATCTGATGAACTGAGTGGCTTTTATCTTACCTGATTGATACATAAATTGAAATTTTACTAATCAACAAGGAAATATCTAAACATATTCCTATATTGCCCTAGAACTCTATATGATAAGATTAAATATGAAGATCAGCTAGTAGCTGAGGGAAGACCTGAAAATGAACTTTATGATCTGTATAATCATGTTATATATCAGGGGCCGTCCTCTAAACCTTGTTATAAAAGGGCACAATGGTCACTTTTATTTCATAAAACTTCATTTCCACATAAAATAGCATTCTGTAAAAATAGACATGAATTAAATATCTCTTAGTGCCATAAAGAAAAAGGACAGTTTCTGCTCCATGGATTCACAATATCAGTAATGCTGTTGGAGGGAAAGTTACTCAAAAATATGTGATAACAATTAACTTATTGTATATTTTCATACCTGAATTTCTCCAGTAATTGGATGAGAGACAGACTTTGTTGCATCAGTGGGCTGTAATATTAAAGAACATATACAAAAATTATTACATGGAACATTCATATAATTTGATTTTTCAGCATTCTGAAGTTCTATTAATTTTGTTGGTTACATGATTTTGATTTGAAAATAAATTGCATTCAGTTTTCAGTTGACCTGTTTCAAAAAAGGTTTCTATTCATACTTTTCAAAGAATACGTCTACATTATATTTCTACATGAATCAATTTTTATAGGGCTAAGAATTTTTAAAGTTATAACTTAACATCAGGAATAATTTCTTTAAAACTCCAAAAGACACACTAGGGTTATAAATATATATATTATATGCATATACATATAAAAATAGATACCACTTCTATGAAGGCATATTATTTCACCATTAAATTGTGTTTCTCAACATTGGATATGAAATAGAGGAAGAAAAACTCTTAATGGCAAATCATGAGGTTTTTATAGTAAAAAAAAAACAACAACTATAATAATTTCTTTGGCTTTAACATCACCACCATTTCCCCAAAATATATTGTCCTCCCCTCCCAGGTATTCATCCCTTAATAGCAAATATTTTTTTTAGAAGAACATTTCAGCAAAATGAATTAATCGGTCAAGTCTGATAGAATATGCAGTGTGTCCCACCCATAGTTTACCATCTTTGCAAAGAAATGAGGATGATACATTCTCATACATGATATGTTTATAATAGGGAATAGGGACAAATGATGCAAAATTGCCAGGTAAAGTTTGTTTTTGACATGTGGCCTCTTGATTTACAATTCAAATGATAATAATGCCGTATATTCTAATTTTTTTTTCTTTCCCTCCTTTTCTATCTTCATCAAACATTACTGTTTTAGGATACTGTTGTCAGTCAGGTATCAGACATAATAGCTCATATTTCTGTGTTTGTAAGTTTATAATAACCCTTATTATCTCCACTTTACAGATCAGGAAACTGAGGTTCATAGTGGTAAAATGAATTGACCAAAATCCAAATTTGGTAAATGGAAGAGCTGAAATTAAAACCTAGTTCTTCAGACACCAATTTCAGGACTCTTTATATTATATCATGTAGTAAGCATTGAATGTGATCTTTGTTAAATTAAGGTATGGGAGACTGATTAAAGACATCGTTACTTGTTGCAATCTCAAGTGATAAATGAGAATTAAACAGCTTCTGAATAAATTATGTTAATGGCATTTGGGCATTAAATTTAGGCATTAAATTGTGTTTATAAAACTACAGTATGAAAAGAAATTTGATTTTTTCTTTACAGAAAGGTCCTATATAGAGCCAATCATTTATAGCAGCATTTTTTATGAAATTGCAAAGAGCTTGAAATACACTAGATGTCCATAGATTGGGGAGCAGCTAAACAAAATGTGGCATATGAATGTAATGAAATATTATTGTGTTGTTAGAAATAATAGTAGGATGAATACAGAGTAGCATGGGGAGATATATGGATTGATGTAAAGTGAAATAAGCAGAACCAAGAAAACAGTACGCACAATAACCATGACAACACAAATTAAAAAGAACAGTAAAACAACTGAAACAGAATAGTGTGAAATGATAAAGACCAAGATTAGCCCCAAAGAAGAAATATAAGAATGCATCACTCTTCAGAAAGATGGGACACTATTGATATAGAACACTGGATATATTGTTGGAGTTGACCAATGTGTTGGTTAAATTTGCTTTTCTTTTCCCTCTTTTTATTTTTTTACTTTAAATGATATATAAATAAGGTCATCAGGAGCTAACTATTCAAAGGAATATTGCAAAATATAAGTGACATAATAAAAGATGTCAATGAATGTTTTATTTTTCTTTAATGGAATGTAGCAATGGCCATTCATATGTACATAACCCAGATATTTTAAAGAGACTGCTTATTACTATTAAAATTCATATAGTTTGGTAAAATTGCAAAGGATATTTAGCTAGTGCTATTTCATAAATGCATCTTATTTTTGATCCACTGCATTAAATCATCGACTTCAAATTCTAAATATGTTGCCAATAATGAAAATAAACTGTTAACAACTTAATGAATACAAAATTGGGAAGCCTACCTAGGCAGAAGTTCACCTGAGAGAAGGCTTTTATTGGACTCAGAATTAATATGAATTGAGAGTTTGGTATGACATTCAAGGAAGCTAGTGCAATCCTAGACTACATTATGAGAAATATAGTCTAGAATGTGTGAGGTGATAATTCCAGGTAATAATCTGCCTTGCCAGATCACCTCTAGAGTAGTGTTCAGTATGGGGCACCAGAGTTTAGAAAGGACACTGAGAAACTCACACTCTCAAAAAGAGGGGAACCCAGATACTGAAGGGCTTTAAGTTCATGCTACATGAGGAGCATGTGAGGAAAATTAGTCTGTTTACTTTGGAGAAAGTAAGACCTGGGCAGTGGGGCATGATAGTTCTTTTTTAGGTCTTTAGTGGGCTATTACATAGAAGAAATGTGTGAAATTTGTCAAGAAAAATTTTGGTTTGATATGACAAAAATCATCTTTAATATTAGAATGATCCAAAAATGAGATTGTTTGCCCTGTAAGGTAGTAGGTTCTCTCCCCTTTACTTGATGTCTGTAAGCAAAGGTTTAAGGCAATAATGTAGAGGGAAATACTTTTTCAGATGTGGATTTAGCTAATTGTTTTCAGAAGACCTTTCCAATTTTGAATTTTTTTGATTCTGTTTACTAGATCATCGACAGATCAGTCTTGGATCCCCTTCACAAAACACTATTATTTCTTCCAAAGACATGTGAAATTTTGTTCTGTATGTAGCATGTGAACAGCCTCAGGAGGATCTGTGTCATCTAAGTATGACTACTTTGAGATAAGATTTGTGGTCACCTTCTGTTTCCATGGAGATGATGGCAGACTGATAAAGTGGAAGAAGCAGAGTATGCTAAAAATAACATTTTTTAGATGGCAACCATCATTACTTTCATGGTTAGTGCCTTCAATGTAGAAGTTCCTTCTAACCATCCATAAGTTGACACACAGTTGGAAGAACTAAATAATAGAGAAATAAACATTCTCAATTTAAATGAAAATATAAATTGTAAAAAAAATTGTCAATGATAAGTGGAAGAAAACAATTGCAAATTTTCTTCAGAGAGGTGATTAAAGGATTTGGTGAAGCTGGTTTTATCACACATTCAGAGGCAACAAGAAATATCCTCTCATGGCATGCTTGGCCATCTCACCTTACAGTACTTATGAAGAGAATTAAATATTATAAAGAACCATGAAGATAAATGAAACTTAGGCATTAACATCCATTGTAAAGCATAACGAACTTTCAGGAAAAAAAAAACTTGACAAAATCTTCCAAAATAATTCAACAAATACTGATCTGTGACTTTGATTCAAAAGTAGGAACCAAAGGAGTTACAAAAACCAGTTGTAAAATAAGTTTTAGGATGAAAGAAACCAAGAGTTTGTACGCTACTCTGAAGCCACTCCAATACATCATGAGTATGATTTACAAGTTTTAGGAAGCAATGGATGATAAAAATGGATGACAAATAATGACAAAATCTAAAAAGATTAGATTTTAATGTATATGGTAATAACTTTGGAATCAGCTGGTTGTATGCAGCTAAACCACTGGCAAATTAGAGATTAGTAGAAAGGACAAAGATGGGAAGGCATTGTTTGCAATTGTAGAAACTGTAAATGAACCTATTTAAACAAACTTTAATCTTATAAAAATGGAAAATAAAAAAAATGTGCTATTAACATTTTCCAGAGGAATTTAATTGGTTCAAAATCAGCACTATAATAAAGAGTCCAAAAGACCTCAGAAAGCAGCTTATCTCAAAAAGATCGACAATCCTTGCAAAACGTTGAGACTGAAGGACTATACCAGTATAAAGGACAAGTAGCTTACAAAATACTTCATGGAAGGATAAGAAAAAAGAAGTTACAAAACACCAAAAAGCAGAGTTTAAGAGAAAACAAGCCTATAGAGAGCTAGGTGGGAGAACCAGCAACATAATCAAATGATCCTAGTGAGCATTTAAAGATGAAACTGGAAGGGCAAAAAACAAGAACTGAACAGAATTTACTAGAGTTTTTTTTTTTTAATGAATCCTGAGTCAATTTCATTATCAATTATAATGGATGCATCATAATTGGAATCTACCAACTTGACACACTGTGTTATGGGGAAAAAGTCATAATGAAATTCATGATGAAGTCAAGAAGAATAACAAACACAAATTAACTAAATACAGCAGGAAGCTGTGTGGGATGAAGTATGATTTTCAAGGTACCGAGATATTGATATTTTATTCAGTATATCATATTCAACAGTCATTTATTAAATGTTGCTATGTGTGACTCAGTGCTAAGAAACCTCAAGTGGTATAGAAACACCTCCCCCACACCATGCACTAAAATAGTTAGAGGTAAGGCTACAGTATATTGGGTTAATCTTCCATGTAGTATAAATATAAACAGAAAAAATTGCACAGACACCATGAAAAGGATGTGACCTGAATCAGAATGAGTCCCCACTTTGAGCAAATCATGGATCCATCCAAGTATGTATCAAAATAAGTGGACTCAATGATGAAATTATAGACCCTCATTCACTGAGTCCCTTTGGAAGATTTATTATGTTGAAGAGAAGAATGGGGAAGGAATCCCACTTGGTAGTGACAGAAGGAAAATCAATGGTGGAATGAAGGATGAGGAAGTCTGTTCAGTTGTTCAGCAATTCAGATTTGGTTGAGTTAGTATAGAACTAGGAGCACAAGTATCAAGAATTATCTCATTCTTTTTAACCAGTCAATCAACAAGCATTAATCAAGAGCTTGTTAGGTGTCAGACACTGTAGTAGGTACTGAGGATTCATCACTGTCCCTGATCTCAAGGTTCTTTGGCCTCTCTAGGGAGAAAAAAAATATATACACACACACACACACACACACACACACACACACACACACACACATATATACACATATACATATATATACACACAAACAAGAAAAAAATAAGCACAAGATAATTTTGTGAGTGGGAAGGCACTAGCAATTGAAGTAGTTGGAAAAACCTTAGGTAGAAAGCAGTGTCTGAGCTGAGCTTTGAAGGCAATTAGAAATTCTAAACACAAACTTTACAGGAAGAATTGGGGAGGAGGTATGTACAAGGTGCCCAACTTTCTAGTTATATAGAGTTATTACTGTTTTTCTTTAGTTAAGCAGTCCTGTTCTCCAAAAGAAGGCTTTAACAAACTTCTTCATGGAAGCAGCAGAAGAGAGGAAGTAAGATGGTTGTACAAGTCTATAAAAATATCCATATGGATTTTTTTTTTTTTTGCAGAAAAGACAATGAATATTGGTGAGACAGCACAGAGTATTGAGACAAAAAAATCAGGAAATTTTGTATAAGTGCTTGTATAGACAGTGTCTGGCAAATGCACAATCATTTCAATAATTTAATAATTGGCTTGGAAAGTTGCTACAGAATCTCTGATTGTTGGTAGCTCTAAAAGTCACCTTTTTTGAGAAAGTCTAGTGTGGATATAAAGATTTTTTTTCCCTTCATGCTTCAATGCACCTTTCTGAAGATGGGAAATGCCTGGATAGAATGCAAGGGGGGAAAAAAGCATTCCTTACATCAATAGTGAGATGGCTTTTAAGAACTTCAAGTCTAAGCCGAGGGATATTTTTAACCTAAATTCCACATGACTCTCTTGATAAGTTACTATAAAGCTAAAGGTGATTTAATACACTTTTTCTGTTTGGAAAAAACTTCTTTTATTTTTCTTATTGTCATCACAGTAGAAATATGAATAAGTTTGGGGTTGAAAGCCTTTTGTTTCCAAACTGATGCTTTTACTAAAAACAATACAAAACAATTTCTCCTTCTCTCTGCTGTAAACAAACAAAAAAGCAGTAAATGAGAATTCCTTGTTCCCCGAGATATATGAGAAACATATATTTGCCTTAATCTTGCTAGGGAGAGATAAGAAAGCAAGAGAAAACTGAGCTCCTTGCCAGGAAAATGAAAGAAGTGGCCTTCAGCTTTTCTCCTAGAAATGGGCTATAACATATTTAAAATATGTGCAATTATGCACACATGTGTAATTTTACTGAATGCTAATAATATTATGCAGTGGAATGTGGCCTAATTGATCATTTCTAAGTCACTACATAGTCCAATGCCATAAATCTTAGAAATTTACTTAGAAATGAAATCCTGGGATTCCATTTTATGTGAAAATATTAAAATGCTATATCTATTAACTATAATAATTTATTTGCCTACCCACTATTTTGGTGGTAGCTAAGTACTGTAGTAAATAGAATGTTCCACTTGGAATTAGGAAAAGTTGAGTTAGAATCATGCCTCAGATATGTACTGTCTATATAAACCTGGACAGGTCTCTTAACTTCTGTCTGCCTTTGTCTCCTTATCTATGAAATGATGAAAATAACAGTGACTACCTCACAGGGTTCTTGTAAGGATGGATGGATCTCTCACTCTCTGTCTCTGTCTCTGTCTCTGTCTCTCTCTCCATTTATATATGTGTGTGTGTGTGTGTGTGTGTGTGTGTGTGTAGGTATTACATATGTATATTTAAAATATGCCATCAATATTGAAGGTTTCTACCACCTATCAAGCAAAAACTTCCTAAGTTGATAGTAATCAGACAGACCCTGACCACTGTCTTTTAGGTAAAGTTGTCTGTGGAACAGAAATGCAATAAACTGAAGGTCAAAGAGAGCTAGCAAGCTTCTAAATCACATCTTTATATAGAGGGATCCACATTCTCTTGTTTGGTCAGTAAAATATTTTTCCCAGCATAAAAGTGCATCAAAGTTATCCCTTACACTTCAGTAAAAATAACAGAAAACCATACACCACCTGATTTCTTGCATAAAACAAAAAATACAGTACATCAATACATCTAGCAACATCCCAGTGTGCTGCTTTGATCTTTCATTATTTGCTAGAGGAACTATAGAACATTTTTTCCACTCTCCACATGACATCTGTCAAAAGAAAGACCAGCTAGACCTGTAAGTGACTAGACATTGAAAATCTTTGCACTTTATTCTGTAAATGCAAAATGTACTTAGGTAGGCATCCAACACTTTGGATAATTCTGGGCATTTCTAATATTTTTTAATGTTCTTAGATTCAGAGGATTAACAGATAATTTGTGAACTAGACAGACATAATTCTATATTTGAATGTGTGTTCTGGAGAATTATCTTTTAGGAAGAATGTGTTCTAATACCATACTAGAAGCTTTTCACTTGAACTTGGTCCTTTTAGTAATGTTAAATCTCAGCCACAGCATATGGATAATGGTTTCAGCAGGATTTAAAACATAAGAATTTGATCAGCAAAAGTAAAAAGAAAAATACTAGCTGCCTAGTTCATGATGCCAGCTTCATTTAGTCTCCCAAGAACTCACAATAACAAGTTTGTAAATAAGACAAATATTCTTGTCCAGTCTTGCATATCCTGCTCATTATTTTATAGGTTAACTCTTTCAAGTGATATAAAGTGAAGGATTTTATCAAATTTTTCTCAGGGTTAATCAGGTAATATGTGATATCATTATGTGCACAAAGGGAGACTGTTATTTTGATGAGGGTAGGGATACTCGGGCTCCTTAATCCTAGGCTCATATGTTATTAAACTCTCTGACTCTACAGGAATGGAGCAGAAGTATCTGTTTCATAATCAGTTGGCTAACAAGCATTTATTAAGTCCTTATGATATGCCAGGCACTGTGATAAGTGTTGGGGATACAAAGAAAGGCAAAAACATAATCTCTATCTCTAGGGGTTAGCATTCTAATAGGGAAGACAGCATGCTGGGGTGTGTGTGTGTGTGTGTGTGTGTGTGTGTGTGTGTGTGTGTGTGTG